CCGTCCAATATGTGAAAAATCTGGGCCTGCTATCTCCATAAAGCTGAGGACTAACCTGAGAAAATGTACATAGATGGATCGAAGTTTTCCTAAGAAAAGAAAGAGTGTAGAACGAAGGGTTCGTAATGAAGAGTAGAGAAAGATCATATGGATGATAGTTGAGGGAAACAATATGTTAGAGCAGATTTTGATTCGTATTCGACAGTGCAATCACACCTAACCTACTACATGGAATCTAAGCTATAAACAAATCCAATATACATCTGGATTACCTGCCATCCAGCTTCGATGGTGTTAAGATCATTGCCGAAAGAGCCAGAGATTACCCACATCTGAGACAAGCTGAACTCGGATACGCTCGTCACTCTCGGTGCCCACACGCTAAGGCTAGCTTTCGCACCGTAATACTGAGCTCCCATGACATAACCAACTGCATGCTGCACCAATGCACGACGGTATGAGTGTCTGCATGGAGAAGAGACGGAAACAACAGCTCGGAAGCAAGCTTATGAAACGAAGGTGTTTGATCTATTAGAGAAAGGCACAAGGTTAATTAGAGGACTGTTTGGACTATGCCACCTCATCTTGGTTCCCTTTCTGAAGTTTTCTGTAGATGCACATGGAGGATCTTTCATGTTACGATTCATGAATCAAGTGCACATAGGGACGAAGGGAAGAGGACGCTGTTGCCTACAGGACGTAGGGAGGAAGAAGACTGTTGCATAACTCCTAGTGCGATCCATGAATAAAGAGAGTGCCTCTTGTCGTTCTCGAATGGTACTGGACCTATAATGTAAGAAAAGCAAGCGATAAAGAGCTCCTTATGGGAAGGACAATTAATGCTTGGCTTGGTGGGGAAAATGGTGGGAAGATACGAACGGAGAAGGTAAGAAATAATCAATTATAACCAGTGGAGAGTTTCTCCTTGGTAAGAGGAAAGAAAGAAAGAAAGAAAGGAGACTTGAGTGATGAGATTACGAAGGCAACCATAGATTAATTCAAGCTAACCTCGTGGCCAGTGCTTCTCGAATCACGACGCAATCTGCCTGCAGCCGGCTTCCGCCCAAACCCCTGAATGGAGCTGGCTCTCAGTATGTCTTCTCGTGACGCCCTCCGAATCGGCACCGTTCCTTGGGGACACGACTCGCCGGAGATTGTCCACGCCTGGAACTTGGCGTCCAGTAGTGTGCTGCTCGAGTTGTTGCCTTTTGGTCTCTCAGGTGGATCCTGCAACCAAAAGCTCTGTAAGATCAGCACTGGCCTGATCGATCAGTTTGACGGGTCATACAGAGAAGATCTCACACGCACCGACGGTCTCTGGCCTCGTAGCTTCGGATGATCGAATGCTGGCTGGAGATGCGATGGAACACAGTCTATAAGATCACCGTCAGGACTCTGCAAGCACGACAGGTGAGCATTGCGGAATTCGGTCAGGAAGCAGGGAGAAGATAAAAGGGAGAGTAAAATAGATGCCTTAATCGTCCTGACAGCAGGCTTGTTCACCCTCTTCAGATGGGCTCTGATGCTCCTATGCTTCGCTCGTATCTCATCCCTGGGATCGAGTGTTGTGCTATTGATCGCGGCTGCCGAGTTGGAAGCAAGGAGAAGACAAGCAAGGAAAAACGAAATGATTCGATAAGCTTTGGCGCAGCTAGAAGCCATGCCCGGGGAATTTTGGAGCTGCGATCCTTCTTCTAGAGCTGTCTGTATCTGTGGACATCGGCGTGGTTGTCTTCTTCTTGCGTGATCGATCAATGGCCTCTCTCGCGAGCTATAAAAAAACTCCCCATGGCTGCTTGGTTTTACTCCAAACGACACCAAATTCTCACTTCCAAGCGGACACCTCCATCCAACACTTGGATCCTAAAAAAATCCCAAACCCCATGTTTCCTCCCTCATGTGGCCCCTCACTCTTACCACCTCCCACCTCTCACCTCCCCTTCCCTCTTCACCTCTCAGTCTGCTTCAAATGCCACGGAAATGGGCTCTGACAAGGAAAACTTTTGGAGAATGAGGTTAGCTGGATGGCTGTTGAAAGGTGAAGGAACGGAGGAGATCTTCCCCAACGGCAGACCTGTCTCTTCTTTTCGTACAGCTTTGCTCACGATACAGGGCCTTGGTGACTACGCCAGCAAGCTTTATCTTTTCCTCTTCTTTTGGTTGGTGTATATACATATTGGGCATCTCAAGTGCGTGTCCTTGTGGTTGGACTTCCCGTTTCGGTTCCCTAGATGTTCTTTGGCATCGCAACAAACCAAACCTGCTCCTATTTATTTGTTTTCTAATTACATAACCTTAGTGACTGAGCAGTCCTTTGCACTCTATATATACTCCCAGCTTGAGTGCCAAGATTGCACATTTGATAGAACTCGAGATAGATTTAGGTGCACAAAGTTCATCTCAAAAAAAAAAAAAGAAGATGCTTCTTTTTTCTGTATTGCTGATTCGATCAACCTCCAGAAAATTCAGCATGGGAAAGGAGTGAGAGCGAGATTTGAGTCACTCTACACTGTGTCCAAGAAATTTCAAGTTGTGAGTATAAAATATGAATTTTTACCACTGCTTTCGAGGAAAGAGAAAAAAGAATATGGCATTTACCATTGTTAAAAACTTGATTATGTACTAAACCAGAGTGATGCAGAGAAAATTATTGTTTTGGACAAATCTTGACGCAGCCTTTGTTTATATCATGTGACGTGATTGTGTCATCTTGACATTGACCCGTGAGTGTTGATGCTCGTTTTCTCGTGTATTATTACTGCAATCGATCGATCGATCGTACCCATTGGGAGATTATAGTTTGCAGGAATTATCAAAGCACAGACTGGATAAACAAACCATTCTAAAACACATGTAAATGTTTTATCATTTTCACGGGCTCAGTCAGACTCGAACTCGATTGAATCAATTTTGTCTCATCGAGTTAATGACCAAAACATTAAAAATTGCAGTTCATCTTATCCTCTCTATATATAATTTGGGTTTGTCTCACTTAATGTGTTCTCTCTCTGTGTTTAAGATTCTTTGGGATAGGAAATCGGGGAGTGTGTAGACCCCATCTACAGTGCTCGAACACGCAAAAAGCTAGTGTGAGGGTCCCCCCCCCCCCACCCCCCACGTCTGTTCCAAGTCCATTATCGAGGCCTCCGGCCATTATGCTGGCCACTTCCATCCCTTCGTAACCGTGCTTCTTCAGCATGTTCTTCCCCTCCCACAAAGCCGACTCATCGCTTTGCAGCGTTCAAAAGGAGGGAGCACCACCTGAGATGCATTGCCCCACACGGATCCACTCTCGTCGATCATCTCAGTCCAAGCAACTTTCCAGATTACCCAGCTCACCAAAAGATTCTAAGCACCTCAAGAAGAAGACAAATTAAGGTGATCCAAAGATCATCATAATCTCCTTCTTTTTGCCGAGTGCTTGAATATAAACAAAGACAACGCATTTGTTACCGAAAAAGATTCTAATGTCACAAAAGTATGGGCATAATTTGTTTCCGATTGCAAGATTGTAGATACAATTTTTCGAAAAAAATTGTTGTAATGTCTACAAGCTCAGTAGCCTGACAACACCTACTCAATAAGAGAAAATAAATAAATACAGAAAAAAAATAAATAAAAGAATCATATTCGTTTTTATTGAAGATTATAAAACTTAATTAAAGATTCATAAGAAAAAAATATTATTTATTATATAAAATAAAATAATTATATTATTCAAAGAGAAACATTATATTTTTATTTTATTTTATTCTTTTATCTAGATTAAAACAATTGTAATAGAGAATGAATCGGCAAATCAAACTCTTCTTATGTGTGAGTCTTGCAAGATCATAGTTATGTGTTTTGTTTTTATTTTTTTGGAAATAATTACATAGTATTCGAGTTTGATACTTATTTTTTATTTTTTTATCATCGTTTTTTTTTAAAAAATAATTTTATTCTTTATTATTAAAAAAATTTCCTTTAGTCTTAAAAAGAGGTGGACAGCACTCTACTTACATGCAGTCTGCTCATAAATGCGATTCTCAACGAGTTGAAAATTGATACACATCCACGGCTTTTGCAGTGACTCGTATGGGTCGCGCACATGGGCTGCTCCATCCATCTCAGTTTGACATCGTCCCCCTCCTGCAATTTGGCAGAGATCGGCGTAGATACCTAAGATAAAAAGAAAGAAAACGAAATAGTGGCAAGCACCATGTACGGTAATGATCGGACAAAGGCCAGCATGAGAAAGAAAGGTTGCCCTTTCTTTGACTCTCTTTTGCATTAAACTGTCAAATCCGTTGCCTAACATACTCCAGTGATTCGCCTGTTCAGGAAAAGCATGGAAGGAATGCACTGAAGAAGAATAAGAAGAAGAAGAAGAAGAAGAAGAAGAGAGAAAACAAAGAGCAAATTCGTATTGGTGACTGATTTATTATAAGACTCTGCTCTCTTGCGAGATTTGACTTGCATACGCTGGAGATTCTTCGGTGGAATTGATTCAAACACAGCAGCCGCAGCACCATCTAAAGTCCACAAAGAGACAAGACGGGTTCCGAATGCTTCTTGGTATCTTCCGTGTTGCTCCTATGCAAGATTGTTCTCTTCCGTTTGCTTCTCGTCCCGTCGTGTCGATCTGAAAGTTGACGACGCGATCCATTTTTCACTTTTCAACCGCGACGGGAGAGGACGAAAAGAAACATCAAACACACGTCAGGCGGGACTCTTCCGTGATTTGTCCGTCGGTGAGAGAAAGCCACAATTACTGCCAGCCGTGAGGGGTTACTCTAACAAAGCCCAGCCAGCCCAGGTTGAGCCCGCCGTCGGAAGAGGACTAACTGCTTGGGTGCGCGTATTGGCTCAACCATGCCATGAAGGCAATTAAGTTGGGATTGGGCCCAAGTCAGTTCCCATTCGGTCCATGTCGGCATGATTGAGTTCACCTGATCCGCGATCAGGTGCGCGGTGGCTCGCACCCGTGTCAAACGTCAGATGTGTATGGATAAATGGAACAATAACTTGCATTCTTTTAAGGTTGGTTGTTGAGATGGCTCTTCTTCGTTTTCGCTACCCTCTGTCACTTCCCCTCTCCTCTCTCTCTTCCTCTTCTCCCGCCCATGGCTGCAGGCGTTTTAGGTGCGCCGCGGGCAACCAGGCTCTCTTCTCTGTCGATGCCACGAAGGTATTCCCCTCCCTCCTCCTCTCTCTACGTGCACCACACCATCGCACGGCCTCTCTGTCCACTTCTCATCTTCCCTTTTAGCTATTTGTTTTGTTTCTTGGGTGCTCCTTATTCGAGGTTAGTTAACGCTGGCGGTTGATTTCTTGAATGGTCTGCCATCTTTGGCGCCTGGATGCCCATCATGGTCTGTTCCAATTAATCCCCCATTTTCGACATGTTCTGGTTTTGCTTCTTGTTGTGGCGATTATTGTTATGGCCCCCTTGATACGGTTCGTTGTTGTTGTTTAAACGCTTGGGAAGTCGGTAGCCCCATTTGAGAAAGGATGCTGCAGGCTCTTTTAGGTGCTAATTTTCGATCATTTGGATTTTGAATTGACACATAAAATGGCTGCGGTGATGATTTAGTTAGAGAATTATTAGATCATCTCGAGTAGATGAACGATTTAATTGATCTGTCTCGGTCAGATTATTCTGAAGGTGAGATGGCACCGACTAATTTCTTCCATTTCTCGTTACACCAATGTGTCAGACCATGAAGGATTTGGAACATATACTTGATCCAGTGATTGCTTCTGGACTTCTCAACGATGCTACTAAATGTGCAGAATGTTAAGTTTTGTGCTCGAGTGCAAGCAGGTTGAAAATTGTCATCCTTCTCTTTGGAATAATAATACTTGAGCGAATTCACAAACCGTGTTCTGACCAACCTATTGTCAAATGCTTCATATAAATATATCTCCTGACAAATTCACATTGCTTTTCATACTTAAGCCTATGCTAGTTCTTTAATGGTCAGAGAAGGTGGACAAATCCAGTGTGGCATATGCTCCAGAGTTAGATAAGTAGGACTTGTTTCTACAGAGGGATGTCATATATTCCTGTGTGCCAACTGTCATAAGATTGATTCTTCCCTTGCTTCATTGAATAGCACAATGGTGCTCCCAAAAAAAATTCATTGTCGGGATATGATTATTGATGGCTATGTAAAACATGTGATATGTTCTCTTGGAATATAATGATTCATAGGTTTACAAAAAAGGGTAGATTGAATATACAAGAAGGCTGTTCAGCTAGATGCCTGAGAGAGATACTTTTCATGGAATTCTGTCATCGATGAATTAAGCAAGGAGACTTGAGAGCTGTAAGGAAGCTGTTTGATCAAATTCCTCCAGTGAAAGATAAAGACACTCGTGGAATCATGCTTAGTGGGGTATGCAGATTGAGATCATCTCTATTTTCTCATTATTGAGATTTTAGAGCTGTTCTACAGGAATTAGATTAATTGGAATTTTTTATCAAATGACATGTTTGATGCAATGATATTTAAATTAGAAGCTAATGCAGACTGTGTGTCTTCCCATACATAAAAATGTTATTGTTTGAGACATTGTCTGCAATATTCATCTAGTCATGTGATATCAAATATAATGATAGTGCAGTTGTATAGGTTATCAATCATGAAGAAGCTGACACAGACTGTGTCTTCCCGTACATAAAAGTGATATTTTTTGAGACATTGTTTGCACTTTGCAATATCCATCTAGTCTTATGATATCGAATTTTATGATAGTGCAGTTGTATAATTTATCAAAATTTACTTGAATTACATATAATGGTTATCCTGCTAATTTTCTTACTTGATATTTCTAGTTTCTTATCAGATTTCAAAATTCAATCATATCTTTATAAAACTATGTCTTCATATTCTGAATTTGCAGCTTGTGTTGGAAGTCAAGGAAAAACTTGAAAGAGAGCATCCAAATCTCCCAGTTGGAAAAAATGGAAGGGATGATGAAGATATGATCCTTTGGTTTTTGAAGGACCGAAAGTTTTCTGTTGAAGAAGCTGTCATGAAATTGACGAAAGCTATTGTAATCAGCATTTCCTTCAAATTATGGATAATTGATTGAATCTCCTCAGTTTTATAAATAAATATGTCAGACATGCTTGATAGCTATTACTCCTGGTGATATATTTGTAAAATGAATCCTGTCTAAAGTTCTTTTTTCAGTGGGTATTAGAAAAAATATGTTTGGGTAAGAAGAAATTATTCGTTATTGAATAATAAACCATGATTGTTGTGCAAGTGGTATTAACAAGAAACAAATGCGCTAATATTTATCTGGTGGAATAATGATAACTGTCCTAGTTGCTGATTTTAATTTTTCATTTTGTGAACTATTGAGTTATATTATTAGGCGGTACATGAATGTAAGCGAATTTTACAACCTTCCATTGTGTTAGTTCACTTTAACCCTGTGATAGATTAGGATTCCCATTTATATATATAGAGGCATTTACCACTTGGAAATGTGAAATTTTAGCGTCAATTTGATGTTCATCCAAAGCAGGGTCTGCCGTACCGAACTGTACCGCCCGGTACGGGTGGTATGTACCAGTTCGACAGGTTGTCGGTACGCGGATCGTCTGTTACCAGTCCGAGTGCACTGTAGCACTGTAGCAGTGCTACATTACTCGGCACACCTGGGTGTACCGCTCGGTATACCGTATCGTACCGGTACTGAGCCTAGGTCGAAATACCGGTACGGTACGGTATTGCGAACCTTGATCCAAAGTACAAGTTGGACTTGATTTGTCATTATGGAATAATTTTGAAATCTTTTAACTTCTTTTTAGATTTTGGAGCTATTTTGTACTTCGAACATTTATTCAATTTTAGACCTTTTCATTTCAGAAATGGCATGAAGACTTTGGCGTTTCAGATTTGTGTGAAGAATCTGTGAAGAGTGTGTATGGAACTGGCAAAGCTTATGTACATGACTTTCTTGACAACAATGGCAGACCAGTATTAGTGGTGGTGGCATCCAAGCATTTTCCTGCGGTAGGAAATACTAGGGTACTGATTATAAAATCAGTGAAATTTTTTCTCTTTACTCATGCATAAGCTCTATTATGATTGCCATATCATGATGCTTCATGTAAATACTTGTTGCCGTGTAGGACTTAATTTTTAATATATTGGAGTTAAAATATATTTTGATGGTTGAACATGCCAAAGCTAGAATGTTAAATTAAATAAATCATAACTTTCACATCTTGGACCATAAACTTATAAAACAGATTTAAATACCAGCCAGAGATTGGTCCATTGTCAGATCAGCACAGGACAAAATACCATGGTTTGCCACTAGCAAAATAATATTTAAAATGTCATTTGTTGGTATTACTTCCATATAGTCAGAATATCATATACCAATATAGATGGGACCCATAAATATCAGATAGGACTATTCAGTTTCTGAGTGCTTGATATAAATTACAAATAGAATATTATACAAAAAATAAGTTCAACTCCAATATAACATTTCTAGATGGTGGGCTTTGATGTTATGGTGAGGTTTCTCCTTTGCGATCAGAGTGACTAAGGTTTGAACCATCGGAACAATTTCTTTTTTTACAGGGGTAAGATTGCGTACATCAGACCATCTTCTTTTTACTAATATAACATTGACAAGCATAATCTCTTTTACAGAAAATATTATTATGTCATCACGATGAAAACAATATGTAGTGTCAAAAACATTGCTTAGCTTGGCCCTTTATTGATGACATGTCAGCATGCTATGGGCAGGTTTTATGTCTAATATCACAAGCTAAGCAGGGAAAAAGAAGTGCTGAGGCACACACATGACATGATGAAGTGATGAACATATTACCAAATTGGCACTTTGAGATAATGGCCTCCATGCATTGACATGGCTGGCATGCAAAACCTTTTAGTTGGTGTTATAGGTGTCCCTGGGTACAGTATCCATTCAAATATTCTTGAATTAGGTTTGGCAAAGATGACATTTGATAGGAAAAGCTTAATCATTCTGAAAATTATGCTCTTTACTGGAGCCTGTACAATCATTGATGTTTACTCTATGCTGCTTGGCTTGCATGCATTTGTATCAGACTAGAGTAGCAATATTGGTTTTTATGTCTAAATTTTGTTGGTATTTAAGTTTGCATTTCTAGACTTGAGTAACCTGTACGGCTTTTGTGTTAATTTCTTCCTAACTTGTCATATTCTGTAGATGAAGTTGTATGGTGAACGAGAATGAAATATCTGTTCTGGTTTAGAGTAACAAAAAGTCAGTTATGTGGTGTCAGCCAATTATTAATTTCAACTGATATAGTTTAAAATTTGTAGTAGATTATACCAAAGCTTGATTGATAACTCGCATAATCTTCTTCTGAGCTGTCATAATGTTGCAGTTGCTCATTTATTGCATTTGACATATTGGTCCCTTCGAACTTATTAAACTACCCTTTTCTGTGTGAGAATTTCTTCCACACTACTAGTACTTGATGCAATATTTAAATAGAGTGTTTTCAAATGATATGTTGGAAAACATCATTTTGTTTCGATATATGTTTTACCAAAGTGTATTAAGCTGGTTGTAGAGTAGAAAGGAAGCAAAATGTAAAAGAGGAGAAAAAGCTGAAAATGTGGGGGAAAGGATGAACTAGTGATAGAAGAAATGTAAGAAGCAGAAAGAAACATAGGAAGTACTTTCTGATGACTAGAGTATCCTATTCTGACAATTGGAACTAATGAACTAAAGGGAAGGACTCCACGTAAAATGTTGTCAACTAAGAAACCTGGCAATTCTTGCATATGGTATTAACTTGTGTAAAATGATTCATTGTCGCAATGGATATTATCTGTAATGTGTTTCTTTTCTTGTGCACAAGACTGTAAATTTCACTAATCATATTCATGAAAGTGAAGCCTTGTCTTCATTGCTTATCCTTTTAACTTGTGTAACTGTTGAAGGCAAATTAATACATTGTGGCCTACCTGCCTCTTTTTTAAATCAAAGGTTGCTTCCATCAGGAGCACGATTACTGATGTACAAGTAATAATTTGTCCACAGAAACAGGAACCTATTGAGGATGAAAAACTTTGTGTCTATCTCATTGAGACTGCATTAAATAAACTTCCTCCTGGGACTGAAGAAATTCTGGGCATATTTGATCTGAGAGGCTTCCGTGTAGAGAACGGGGATGTTCAATTTTTGAAGTTCTTGGTAACTTCTGCAAGCTGCTGCTGCCCCTTTCTGCTGGTTAAAGTTGTGAAGTTCCTTAAATTATGTCATTGTTGATGTATCTAGACTACTTGCATTTAGAAAATAGGTAAAAGATTAATATTTTTTCCTATGACCCAACAGAAATACAAACTATATCTGACATTTGCTTGCACACTTCAAACATTAGATTAGTACTCCTCTACATGCATATTTAATACTAAAATGAGTGGTGCAAATACTCCCATATGCAAACCTCACTGTTAAATCATTATTGTGTGTAAGAATCTTGGCACTCCACAGATGTTGCTTTCCTCTTGCTGTGAGTTTTTTCATTGTACAAACCCATCCAAAAATACACAATAAAAATGCAGATGGAAGTTTTAGGATGGGTCTTTTGGGCTTTCTTTTAATGTTATTGCAGATTTTCTTCAGGAGACATGATTGTTTAGTTTTTGAAATGAGTAAGAATATGTCATAGGAGATTGTTGAGTTTAAGAGGTCATTGTAATAGAATATGTATGACCACAAGCTAACATGCATCCATGTCTTTGTGGTGGATAGTCATCTTTGGACTAATTAAAATGTTTGATGTATTTACCTCTTTAATATACCGATATTCCTTGATGTAGATAAACAGGTGCAATGGTATTATTCTGCCTTGACACAATAAACCCATCTAGATTAAAATTAATTCGAAGGTATTCTCGTAACTGATATAATTACTGCTGAAACCTGCAGTTATCACCTTACTCTAGAGATGTTTTCAGATGTCTTTTGTACTTTGATATTGGCTCAGCTAAAGAAATGCATGTGTATTATCTACTTTTGTGTTAGTGGAACCTATATACATACATATGCTAAATTTGTTCAGGAAAGATAATTTATTATTGCATTCATTGTGTCAACAGATGGATGTTTTCTACTATTACTACCCGAGGAGGCTGGGGCAGGTGCTCTTTGTAGATGCCCCTTTCGTGTTTCAGCCCATTTGGCAGCTTGTTAAGCCTTTGATGAGGTCGTATGCCTCGCTGGTGAGCCTTTTTTCTGGGGCAGAAATTTAATGTGCTATGGGACACATATTCTAAATTCGATTAGATAGGAACTTTCCAAATTGATGCTTCGTTGAAGATTGCTTTGCTGATATCTTTATTTCTTTCCTAATTCTCCAAGGTGAGGTTTTGTGACATGGAGACAGTGAGGAAGGAGTATTTTACAGAATCCACGGTGCCAACAGACTTTAAAGATTGAGCTTCCAGTGTCTCATGGACGTACTACTGTAAGTCTTTACCGTCTCCAAGACCTTACCATCTGGTGTTACAAACCGGCCAATTCCTTTATGGAAATTAAGAAAATAAAATAGAGAGAGAGAGAGAGAGAGCATATATATATATATATCAGTAATCGACCTTTGTATCTGTTTGTTGATGGAGGCGACCCCACAAGTCTGATGACAGAAGAGACGCAAAAACAAATTTTTTGCCATCAATTTCTCTAAAGGTTTCAAGTGATTATTATCACTCTTGGTGACTGGAACCCGTAGCTTCAATCTTTCAATCATCTTGCCGTGAGGCATCGTGGTGACCGGAACCCATAGTTTCAACTGTGACTTTGCCACACCGTGACCGCAGCTGACTCCCACCGCTCGCCACCGAGCGGTTAGGACTCGCCGTCTCGAGAAAATTGTGACCAAGACGAAGAGATAGTGAGGGCTCACAGAGCAAAAGGTATAGTGGGAGGAGGAGCAAACGCGGATGTCAAATCCAAACCAAAAGCCAATTCCTTATCCTCGACCTGGCAACGTCTCGATTTTCTTCCGCTTTGACATTCGGCCTCTCGTTTTGCCGCTGAAAGCCTATCCAAACTCCCCGTACGCCAACTTCAATGGATGGTAGCCCATCCAAACAAAACAGTTGGGTTTCGGTTCAGGCCGGGCCGGATTGTTCTGTCGTTATATTTATGTAGAGGGGAAAAGTAGGATCCCGTCAGTGAGCTTAGAGCGTACAAGTCAGATGACAAACGAGGACCTTTTATTATTTTTACTTAAAATGCTTAACGTTTGACTTTGTTACCGTCACCGATGGTGCTCAATACTTGTAATAACTTCATCAATCCCACGATGCTCAAAGTTGACTTCATCACGCCGTGCCCCTACGACGCCACAGTCGATCTCGTCCGGTCTACGAGTTTCGTCTCTGAATTAACATACAAGGGTATGAATTGATCCCCTTATATGTTGTCTCCATATTACTTGAGGTGGCCCAAAGCATGCATCTTACACGTCCATGTCGGATTAAAAAAATTCCAAAGCTCCAAACATGATCGACGCAATTAAAATGTCCCTTTGGTTGGTATGTGTCCAAACGCTCGATGTGATCGATGTAATCAAGGCATCTCTATTGCAAGTAATGTGCCTATTCTTTTAAAAAGAACATTTAGAGCACGTGATGCAACCGATGTGGCTAAAATATTTATTGCACACTGATGCAACTGATGCGATGAAAGTATTTCTATCCTATTGTGTAATGAATGACATGCGAAAGATGGTTGACAATCTAATCTTATCATCATGTTGTTTCTATCCTATTGCTACGTTATTGACATCTCATAGTCATATCATCGATGTCTCATGATTGACATATTATCGATATCTTATAATCATATCATCAATATCTTTTCATTCAAATGATATGACAAAAGTATGCAGGAAACTAACTCAACTGGTTATTACCCCACATTTTTAAAAATTGTGCTACATGATCACGTCTATGGCTGGTGGAAGTATATAATCGTTTTGGACATTTAAACATGCTGGTCATACTTCATTATATGAAAACTCCTGTAAGTGTGTTCTCTTGAATTTGTTTAAATACTTGTGTTCTCTATGACTTATTAGGTATGTCCCTAATATAATTTTCTTGTAAGTTTTGCTTGTCGAACTAACTCATCTTTGGACATCAAGTTTGTGATAAACTCCAACTCAGAACCAAGGTTGGATCTAAATCCTCTACATTAGATGACCAAATTCTACTTTAATAGAATGACATTAGAAAATTTACCTAATAAAAGAATGTTGCACACTAGTCATACCAAGAGCTATTGTTGAGGCAAAGCAACAACATGGAGGACTGTTGTTGCATCATAACACTCTTTGATAGGATAAAGTGATTTTTTTTTAATCACATCTTTCCACGTAGAGCCAAGCAGATAAATATCATTTTATTCATCATTTATAAATATTTATTATAATTTATTTATTCAAACATAGTGATGTTAATTCGAAGAATCATACAAGTAGCTCTACCTAGTGGTAGAGGAAGGTCCATTGGTGTATATCAAATACCCGAAGGAGCACTCCCCCAATAGTGGATAGAGAGACTTTATCCTACGGGATGAGTTTGTGTTCTCCCAACAACAGATAGAGGCAAACTCATCCCTCACTTGCCAAAGTGGAGACATTCCTTCCAATAGCGGATGGAGGAACCATCCAGCCGTCACGTCTGATGACCCATTAATCCCTGAAGGGAATCACCCTACATGCTCTCAGTAGGGAAATTGATAGAAAGAATAAAAGAATTATTGAAGATAAGAGAATAAAAGATAAGAAAAAATATTGAAGAAGCTTTATTGAAGAAACTTTATTGAAGAAGCTTTATTGAAGAAGCTTTAGCTTTAATACATAAACATGTCACTCTCCTATTTATACAGATTAAGAGGGAGGATTTTCCTCAACGGAATAGAGGATTTCCCTCAACAGAGTAGAGAGATTTCCTCATATAGTTGAGAAAATCTTGTTTACTATTAGAAATAACATAATCTCACACTGGTCATATTTATATCGCGATGAAATAGTATATTTAAAACATATCTTTCAAACATCATCAATATCAAATAATACTAATTAGTCCTCAACCGACTTGAATCCTAGTTCAATCGATCCAATTAAACTTGATTTACTAGAACCTAATTGAATCAATCTCTAATCCTCATTTAACTATTTGAAACTACCTTACACTAGTATAATTTGGATTAGATTATATTCAATTTAGGTTAAATTGACTTGAATAAGACCAATTCAGAATCATTCTGAATAAGACCGTTTAGGTCAATCAACGTTTGAGCTCAAATCCAACAATTACATAATATTGGACTAGGTTGGGCTGACTTGGTCATGTGCATTGCACATAACTGTGCATGCACCATAGTAGGTTGGGTCAACCTTAGCCCATGGACTGGTCATATGCGTCGCACGTGATTGCCTTTGTTGGGCTGAGCTAGGTTAGCCTATAGGCTAGGGCTTGACCCATGAGTTGGGCCTAGTTTGCTAACTGGGCCTAGCTAGTGAGCTATAGCCTGACCTATGGGTTAGACCTAGTTTACGAGCTGTTCTAACCAATGCCTATCCAATTTCATCAATATCCAATTATGACAACATATATTCACTAACAATAATACATTAAAACATAACAACGGATTAAAGAATAAGATTGAAAGATAAACTTCAACGGATTAAAGAATGAGATCCTTAATTCAATAAGAATTAGAATTCAAACTTTTAATACATATCACATGAATAATTTCAACATGATCTAAACAAATAATAAAATTCTAAATCTTAAAAGAGATCAAATTTTTTTTTAGATAATATATCAGAATCTAACAATAAAAATTTTAACAATTAAAGGATTAATAAATATTTTTTGAACTGCTCGTATATTTTAATCTAGATAAGATTAAAAGGTAAATTGTAACATGAGGAAATAACATTTCTAATCTAAATATGAAAAATCAAATATCATATATTCAATATATAAAACATGTATAATTTCAATGTATTTAAATCCAAAGAAACCTTTAAAGAAGATTGATGAATCTCTTAAAAACTTCATATAACATATCTTAATCCAACAATAAATATTTTTATATTAAAAAGATTGATAAATATTTTCAAACTATAAAAATTTTAATATTTAAGAAATCAAAATAAAAACTTTTATTTTCAAGTAAGGTAGGAAAACCTACTTCTTCGTAGCAGGATGTAACTCATCATTCCTTTCATTGTTGGGCTCGGCTAGGTGAGTAACGAAGGAGAGAAATCCCTTCCCTTAAATAGGAGGAAATGAGCCTCTGTTAAAAGAATTTGTTTAATTTGTATATTTATTTAATTTTTATTTTTATTTAATACACTAACAAATATGATATCATCCTATTTGGAATACTCAATAGTTATTTCCTAATTCACAATTGTAAACAAGGAAATAAGATTAATATTTCCTAAATTACATTGGCAAGTAATGAAATAAAAATTGATTCATAAATTAAATATTTGATTTGATTATATTTCTCCCCTACTAAAGAAAATTTGGTCCCCAAGTTTAACTTCTCTTAATAGAATAGATGAGGATACTACTCTCGCATATCTTCTTCTCTTTCCCATATTGCCTCTTGGTTTTAATGCTGTTGCCAACAAACCTTTACGAAGGGTATACTTTTATTCCTTAAAACATGTTCTTTTCTTTCTAAGATTTGGGTTGGTTGTTCTACAAAAGTGGTATTATCTCTGATAAGACCCTAGGGTTTTATCATGGAAGAAAGAGGAAAAAAAGGGGATGATCACTTCGAGGGGATCGACCTCCTTGATCACTTCGAGGCGATCGACCTTCTAGGGTTTGTCAAAATACTGAATAATATTTTATTGCTTACCAAAAAGAAACAATTACATCCATATTTATAGAGTTCCACCCAGAGTCCACTAGGACTTGGATTCTTAATAATGAATAAATATTAAATAAACCTCTATCTGACTCTAACTGAACTAAATAGACTCAATAAACATTATTCAAAAGCTCAGAAAATAAAGAGATCTTAACAATTCCTCTCCCTTCAAATCAGCCTTGTCCTCAAGGCTGAGCAACATTAAACTCGGGGAGTTTTTCTTTCAGCACTTCAGTCACAGGCTATCTACGACGCATCACAACCCATTGATCAAGTAAGTACAGTCTCCACTTTTTGATAGTGTAAGCAATAGGTTAGCCTTTCGGTGTTGCAGTCTTCTGAAAAATCTTCTCAATCTGATAGCTAGTGGTAGTTGTGACCTTGCTTCCATGTTTTCCCTTTAGGATCACCTGCTTTCCATTAATAAAAAACTTTATGATTAGTTTAGAAAAATTTCATGAAACATCACCCAAGATTGATAGCCTTTCAATTCTAAGCACCACTTCGAAGTCTTCCAAGGGTAGAAAAAAGAAGTCCATAAGCAACTCTTGGCCCTGTAAAATTAGTTTTATCTTTGAGCACTTGCTATTATAAGTTAAAATCCATCTATCAGTGACTTTTACTTCGAATTTGTTACAATCTTCAATATGGTAGGCCAATC